GTTATGATTTTGTATTGATAAAGATATGTTGACATGGTGACTTTCCTTTACTCAAAGTGATTTTGAAAGAGAATGAGGTTTTGTTCTAAAACTATGGGTTTTAGCTTGTGTTGCAAAACAACGAAAAATGATATTGGTTTTGTAAGAGATGGGAAGAAAATGGTTGTGAGATTTTGAAAAGGGTTGTTGTTACTCTTTTGGAAAATATATCTATATTGATATCTTTTGACTATTGCATTAGAGATAACTGTTTTGGCTATCGGTAGAGAATAGCCTTGCCTTGTGTTGGAAATTGCATGTGGATTAGGCAATTTGAAATCATTCATATCATGATTTTTGGAATTTAAAATCGTATGTTGGGAAAGAGGTTTTGGAAATTCTTGTGCTATGTTTTAAAACATTTGCATTGTTTTGGAAAAACAATATTTTGAATCACATGTATTGTGCTATTGGAAAAATGTAAATAAAATGGTAAAACTATGATGGGGTGTTAAAGCAGAATTAAATTGGCTTGTGTATCCATGGTGAAACACCTAAACCCGCGCGATAGGTGTCGAGCCTTCCGGTTAGCACCGGTAAAAATGACATTGTGACTTGTATAGTTAATCGTATGAACACTAGCCCTGAGATTTACCCATTTTATTTATTATCGTTTTGGCTTGAAAGAATGTTTTGGAAAAAGGTTTTAGCGATGTATTCGCATTTGATTTAGCAATGTATTTGCTGGTTGGTATTGAGATACTTGGATTGGTTTTTGGAAATGAATTTTATATCAAACAAATGTTTTGAACTCGGAAAACGTTTTGATTAGACGTAAGGATTTGGTAATTGGAAAGAAAGGATTTTGTTAAGTAATCAAATGGATTTGAAAATGCATTCAAGGCATATTGTATATATGTATTGCATTATGATCATTTATGCTGGTGGAACATGTTTAGTTTTTGAAATATTCTCTACTGGGCTTTATGCTTACCCTACGTGGCTGAAATGTTTTTCAGGTGTACATGTGTGGATATGGATTGTGACGTGAAGCTGTGTTCAGAATCATGTAGTGTGGTTTTATTATTTGTAGGCCAAGGGCCATTTGTGCTATTTATTGGCCGTATGCTATTTCTTGTAAGGGTTGCACCCTTGTGTAAGATGTAAGTCTCAAGACATCTAATTTGATTTTATAACATATGTGCATGTTTTAGTTACAGAGCATCCATTCGACTTAGATGTTGTATCTAGAAATGTATAAAATCGGATAAAACACATGTATTATGTGACTATATAATATTAATTTATTTGCATGAGAATTGTTATCTATTGTTCATCATCGGGTGGTTTATTCACATGAGCTGGACCTTGTTAATTCAGGGTGTGACTAGAACAATTAAAATATTTATTGTTGAAATATATATATATATATATATAGACACATTTTTTTATTATTTTTTATTTTTTAAATATGAGCACGGAGGTATCTTCTTTACATACTTAATTGTCACAAACCCTTCATCATATTTCTCCAAAAAAATTAGATACAACCTAAAACGTTAACTTTTTTAATAGAGTACCCTAACTAATAGAAAATATCCTAGAAGAGAATATACTAAGCTAATAGAAAATTATCAAATGATAAATGATTTTGGAGTTGATCTACACTTTAGATTTTTTGATACCGCCCTCCCTCTCCGCCCCATATCTATCACCTCCTCATTAACTATACCACACTTGGCCATGAGTTATGAAGAAAAAATTGGGACATAATCAGTTAGAAAATAATAAACATTAACTAACTTTTAATAGGGCATTCGGTTCAAAAGTCCAAACTTTAATTTTGTTTGTCTAACAGTCTAGGAGCTCAAACACTTTGTCTATAAGGACAAACTTAGATAAAATGACCAAAATACCCTATCTATATATAAACCAAACCCTAACACAACTCTCACCCACAAACCATCTCTCAACTCTCTCTTTCTCTTACTCACTCAGATTTCTCTCTCTCCTTCAATCTCGATCTGCCGTCGCTACCCCGATCTGTCATCGCAACTAGTAATTACCTAATCCCGCTGTGCTTCTCTCTCTCTCTCTCTCTCTCTTTTTCTCTCTTCTTCATCTTATCTCTTGGAATCCTAGAACTGCCATCGATAGAAATCAGTGGCACCGAAGAGATCAGACCTTTCTTGTTTAGGTTGTAGAGGTTGAAAGCTTCCTTCAACTCCTAAGCCCAAGCATCGCTGTCGCCTGCGGAGGAGCCCTATCATTTTCACCCGCCAACCACTGCCTTATCATTCTCAATGATCTATATCTTCTTTTTATGGTGTCGATGTCGGTGATCTAGATCTGGATCATCTTTTTTTCAATTTTTTAGATTAGATCTCAATCGGCAACAGATCTCGATTGTCACCACCACCACCTCCATCGCCGTCATCGACGATTTCTATGACCACAGATCTGTAATGATCTTTGATCATTTTCTTTAGAAACTCTCCCTCTTTCACACACACACACTGTAAGGTCCTAGTGTCCCACATTGAGAATAGAAGGGGAGTTCCTAGGCTATAAAAGTAAAAACTTGGACCCTTATATAGCATTGAGGCCTTTTCCCGGGTGGTGAAATCCCTAGCAAAACTTCCTAGTTAAAGCGTGCTTAGACTGAAGTAATTCTGGGATGTGTGACCCACTAGGAAACACAAATCCATGCAGGCGTGGCCCAAAGCGGACAATATCGATAATATGTGAAGGGTCGGGGCATTACACACACACACATGCATATATATTATAAAATTATATTGATTTGATTCACATATGTATATACAGAGAACCTTCATTTTTTTTCCTATTAGTTTTTTATTTTCATTTTTCATTTTTTGTTTTGTTACAAAAATTGAAAACTTAGCTAGTCAGTTCTTGGCACTTCATTTTGTATTGTATAATATATGTATTGTGCACCCTCTCCCTCTCACACACATACTCTTTCTCTCTTATCATATATTTTGTGTGTGATTTTGGACAGATAGAGGGTGAAGATGCATATCTATGTATATTTTTTCTTCTCTTTATTATCTGTTGATTGTTGTTGTTTTTGATTCTGATAACAATGATGATGATGATGATGAAACAGATTAGTGCTCATCTTTGTCTTTTTTTTGGTTCATTCTCATAGATAGAGTATGAAAGAGAGAGATAAAAAATGTGTGTGTGTGTGTATGTGAGAGAGAGAGAGAGAGAGAGAGAAAGAGAGATGATTGATTACCACCAAAATTCTTCGACAGATTTGTAAATACATGTGAGAATGAATTTTTTTTTTGTTGTTATGAACAAATCTGTTTGTGTTTTGTATTTTTTATCTGTTCAAATTTTGAACAGATTCTTATAAGTGTCCTATGTTTTGTGTTTTTTAGATTCTTAGATATGTTTTTTTATTTGTTCAACAGATAAAGAATTAACAGATAGAGGTTTGGAAAATTTTAAATAGATAGAGAAAGAACCCACAGATCGAATTCAGATAAAAAAAATTGAAGAGATGATAAAATTTAAATAGATATTTAAACAGATAAGGGAAGAATTTTGAATAAATAGTTACAAGAATTTAACAAATAATTAAAAAAATTGAATAGATAGACAAAAAATTTGAACAGATAGAAAATAATTTGAACAGATAGATGAAAATTTTGAACAAATAGAAAATAATTTGAACAGATAGATGAAAATTTTGAACAAATAGAAAATAATTTGAATAGATAGTCAAAAAAAAGTCAATAGATAAATTAAGGGATAAAATTAGAAACAAAATGTCATTCAAAACAAGTAAAAGGGCCTCTCGCCAAACTATTTCACAAATGGTGGACCTTTCACCAATAAGAAAAATACATTGGATCTAATGCCTTAGACGTCTTCTAAATTGGATTTATCACCAATTTTCTCTTTTTAATACCTCTGGCAAAAGAGTTTAAAAGTGTTGCGGTGATCTATTGTATGAAATAATATTTTGAGCGATAAACAAGTTTTATATAGTGTGAAAAAATATTCATGATTGTGTAATAGCTAGGGTTTTGTGAAGATTGAATAGATTAGAGAAAAAATAGAAGGAATAATGAATTTAATCTATCCTTTCGAATTTTTGTAAGAGATGATGGGTTCGGATAAATCATTTTTAACTTCCCTTTCGAAAAACATAAATCATTGAATAATTAGTATTTTTGTAATTATTACATTAATGTGTTAGGCAACAATATTTTTTAAAATTATTTTTTAATTAAAAAATTCAAATGGAAATTTTGGAGCTCCCATAAAATTTCTTACAAACGGTCACTTTGTTATAATATATAGTATATATAGATATAGATATATTTTCAATGAATAATACTTAAGAAATTAACTTAAGAAATTAAAAATAAAAAAAATAAAAATAAAAAAGTGAGGTCAAATCTATAAAAAAAAATAAAAAATGATAAACTATTGCACAACTAATGATTGTACCTTACAAATTTGCTAAGATATTGTAGAAAAATTAACAAAAAGCTAATTGAATTGAGATTGATGGACCAAAAATTTTATAATTTGTTAATTATATTTAACCAAAAAATACATTTGGTAAGGCTAATGTGGACGTTTTAAGTCTGGGTTTCAAGTTAATCTCATTTTTTGTTGTTCTTTTTTTTTTTTTTCTCCTATTTCTATCAAGGCTATGCATATTATCATCAAAATCGCACCGAATTGTACCAAATCGCACCGAACCGTGCATTTTTTTTTCACTTCTAGCGAATAGGCTGAGCGGGTGGGAGTCTAAGAAGGGTGGGTCAGTGTGGGTTACGGTTTATAAAAGTTAACCAGCTAGATCAACCAACCTGACCCGTCACTAACGCCACTAATTTTATACAATAAATATTTATATATATATATTCAGGTTACATTCCAACCATTGGATTAAGGAGATATTTAAAATAATTCAATTAAAAATAATATAATAGACAGATTATGTGAGCAAATAAATAACTGTGATCCAAATAATGGGCTAAACACCCCCTAACCTATTACATAATCAAATCTCAAACGGACCTGATTCACACCTCCCAAAACATCTCATTTCATTCATCTGTTTCGTCCCCTGTTGGTCTTCTTCCTTACCTTGCCGATCGGCGCCACCGCGCTACTAGCCTTGCTGTCACCGCCGTTAGACTTTCCGGCGTTGGTTCTCTACTCGCCGCTAGTGCTCATCGCTTGTCGCCACTAATCTCCACTCGCCGCCACTGCTCTTCGTTCGTCGTCGCTAGTCTCCACTCGCCTTCGGTGGTATGTAACTCTCTCGTTATCCCATAACGCATCGATAGGTTTATTTGTAGTGTTTCTCTTTGTGTTCTGTGTAGAGTATATACATATATATATGTAAGACTGATTTTTCGGACTCCATTTTCGACCATGAACTCTTCTTCAGCTTCTCTGGATCAATGTCTAGGGTTTTCATGGCTCGGAATTTCACATTTCACACTAATGTTGCTTTCATAATCACTACCCTTTGTGGGTTTTGTGTTGCATGTGGTTTTTGTGATCTAGGTCGTTCCCATTTCTTCGATTCACAGCCTCGTCATTCTGGGTTTGAGTGATTTTGTGGTTTTCGATTCCGATCTGTGTAGAATTTAAACTGTTTGGTCATGTATTTACATTGAGAGCTCTCGTGGGTGGTTCTTTGATTTTGGCTTTCTGAGTGCATAATATTGTTGAAAATTAATTTATAAAAGATTTGTATTTTGTAATAGATAATGGACGGGGAAAATACAAGTGATGCTTAATATTCTTTTTAGTATTTATTGCCTTGTTAAATTGTTATTGTATAGTTTGTTTAAATTGTTGAATTTTTAGTTTATTAGTTTGTCAATGTTTAATGTTGATTAGATGAATGAGAACATCTATTTTAATTTTGACTATTTTAGTTAATTTATAAACTAAATCATTTTACTTTTTGATTCAAGATTTGTAATTTGAATTGTATTTTTTTATAAACCGCCAATCTACTTGAATTGCCAAGTTGAAGTCGCCATTATTTGCCAATTGAACTGCCGGTTTGTTATAAGAAAAATGACAATTTCTAATGACACTTATATCAATCCGCCACCCACCGTACGGTTTCTATTTTACTCATAAACTGCACCAATTTGCACCGCGTACACCCCTTATTTCTACCGTGTCTCTGATCTGTCTCTCTCAAATCTGAACCTAGTTTTGGAACTAACGAAGGAATAGGGAAGTAACAAACGAGAGGAAGACAACGACCACCATGTACATAGGTAGATGCGGAGACGGTGTGTCACGACCCCATTCCGCTCCTAGTAAAATGATGCTATGATGGCCAGTAATCCGAGATTATCAAAGGCTAACTTGCCAGGATTCACACACAATCAGAGTATACATATGGGGCTTACAAGTGCGGAAGCAATAAATTTAAATCTAAATAGTCCACAAGAGCTGTGCATAGATCAAATGAAATGACATACATCATGACATGGTTTACAACTTGGATACAAATAAAATAAAGTACATATTACATCTTGATCAAAAGGCTTCTCAAGTCGAAATATACAAAAGACATGAATTACAAACTAAGGAGTATAATCTTCAAGATGCTAGCAAAATATGATTCCGAACACAATTTGCAAAATACATCTAGGCGTCACCGCCTTCTTGCTCGTCACCTACATATATATAAGGAGAGGGTGAGCTTAGATATTCAGTGAATGATATTAGTAATAAATGTTTGAATGAATGATATTCGAGATTTTTATCAAAACATTACATAGCATACCTTGTACAAATCAAGGGATGAACCAAGTTCATCTATCAAGTCTTTCAAAGTTTCAAGGGATGCTTACTAGCATCAATATAATACAAGGGGTGACATTCCTGACAAAACAAGGGAATAATCGACCCAGAATCGATTAGACAAACCCACCCGTACATGACCGTCGGTGGCAAGGGAGATATCTCAAACAAGGGTACTAGTTGCATTATAGTCCCCTAGCACTAAGAACTTTCCAAGAATGTCATCAAAACAAGATAATACTTGATATCAAAATAGGAATAATCATTCATACTCGAACAAACACTTTTTCAAAACGAAACAAGCAAAGCTTTTATCAAAACATTAGAACATAGCTTTATTAAAAATACCACTCACATAGCTCTTCGGGTGCAGGGATTAAGGCAAGAATTCAAGACCTACAAATACATGGCAAAGTCCACTGATTGCATTTCAAGAAGACAAGAAGAGATGCTCAAAGATGGTTGTGCAATGCATCCCTAAATCAAGCTCTACATGAGTGTAAATGATCTCGACATTTCTTTTAAAACTAAGTCAAGACAAGGCAAAACATGTGCTGGGAGTTAAAACATTGTTTTTCATCTCGGGAAAACACGCCGGATGCCAACCAGGTCTTGGCTGAGGTCCCACACCTCTTGGCCGAGGTGTGGTCCCGGTGACCACATTCAGGGAAATGAAGTCTAGAAAATACGGGTTTCCTTTTGAAAAACACGAAGAATATGAACATGAAGAACATGAATGCTAAAATCGAAACTTCTTTATTCAAAATTTGAGGATTCATGATATAAGTTCAAAAACATAAACCTGAGTACCCATACTTAAAGATTTCATGAAAACAAACACAAAACATGGAACTTGATATAAATTTTTGGATCAACACAAGGTTTTTTTCTTTAAGAACACAAGAACATCATTTCCTCTTTCTAAAACCAAACTTTAAATCAATGCATGGCTTATGAATCATGCTAGATCATGCAATGTGATCATATCAACGTAAAGAACAACAAGAGTAGATCAAGAATCTAACCTCAAAACACGAATATAACGGTTCCAACTCTAAGGCCCCGTTTGGGGACTTACTTTTTTAGCCAATTAGCCAAAAAATTACTAAATTAGCCAAAAAGCCAAAAACTCATACCAAAAAGTCAAAGATTCTCTTTTCTCTCTACTTTTTGCACATCTTTTCGTAATTAGCCAAAAAGTCATCCCAAACATACAAGTTTTTTTTACCTACTTTTTTAGCCAAATAGCCAAAAAATTACTAAATTAGCCTGTTCCCAAATGAGGCCTAAGGATCAAGCTTGGAATCTAGCTCTCTCACTCTAAGAACTTCTCTTCCTCTTCCTGGACCTCCTCTCTCTACAAGGCTAAGATATGACAAAATGATATGGGTTTCTCACTGCTAGCTGGCTTAACCCTCTGCTGGGACACGTGGCAACGCCGGATTGGATCTCCCCAAAAAAGTGACAGAATGACAAGACAAGAGTATGACAAAGTGTGTATAACAAGCAAGGTGACAAGGGCACTCTGACAAGGCAATGATCTCGGTTAGGAAGGATAACACTTGACCTAACTGTAACACCTCGGCCTAGATGTGCCACACCTCGGTCTAGGTCATACCAATCCAGGAACAAGATCACTAGGTGCGAGGATCAAGGATGTTGGTTGCCTAGATTATAACATCTCAGCCTAGATGATACACATCTCGGCCTAGGTGATGCACACCTCGGCCTAGGTGATGACATCTCGGCCAATATGCCAGGGTGAGGGTGGAGGTCAACCAAAGTGGTTCCAAGATGGTCCTAAGTATAAGAGGTTCAAGGGTGGGACCTAGGTTGCATACACTAAGCAAGGAACAAATCATACAAGCAATACTCAAGCAAATCACATAAACACAAAACAAGACAGAGATCTTTACTTTAGGCAAAATAAGTCAAAATCTACAAATGCAAGCTTAACAAAACAAAATCAAGCAGATGCACATGAACATGACCAAGACAAGAATGAGGGTTATTACACGGAGATACCCAAATACGACTGTAACGAACCCGAAACCCGAATACGGAACTGTAAGTTTTCCGAATCGTTCTCTCTCTCTCTCTCTCTCTCTCTCTCTCTCTCTCTGTCTGTCTCTCTCTCTTATACACAAACGCGCACACACGCGCACACATTAATCCAAAGAACCCTAACTTTATAGTTATATTTTGCCCTAATAAATATGGTTCACTTTGGTGATTTGTATGCATGTGTTTATTATCATATTGGCTAAAAAAATTTGGAACAAATTGGGTGTCAAGTAACCCTAATTTTATAGATAATTTTTTCTCTAATATCTCTCGCCACCCTTTGTCGATTTGTATGTATGTGTTTATTACCATGTTTGCTAAAAAAATTTGGGAAAAATCAGATTGATGGGTGTGGAGTTGGGGATTTGGAGATGCCCTAAACTAGGTAGGCAGACTCAAAACAAGTTGTGGTGGTCATTTATTTAAAATTTTCTTTTCCTTTTTGGTATTAAGTTATCACATTGGAGTTCAATATGGATCTAACAAATTGAGTGGGGTGTAGTTTGGCTGCCATATAATAACTATGAGTATATCCCAAAGAAGGTAGGCAGACTCAAAGATTGTTAATTTTGTAGTGATATGTTTGTAAAAGACTGTTGATATTGCATAATAAAATTGAATTCACCAAGGAAGGTGATCCGAAATTACAAAAATAATAACTGTAAGGGGCATTTCAGAAACAACTTTTGGCTTTGCTTTTTATGTTAGATAAATTACAAATGCAACATTTCCCAAGTACCCCCAAAAAAGGAAGAAGATAAATTATAAATGCACTCTAAAATTTGTTTAAAATATAGGTTACTTACTAAAATTTTACAAATTACAAATGTTACTTTTATAGAATTTTTTATATAGCAGAATTAGCAGAAAAAATAAAGGCATTGTTTGGTTTGTGTTTCTTAAAAATTTTTGGGAAAAATTCTCTACAAATAAGTTTTCAAAAGTAATCAAACCAAACAAATTTTTCCAAATTTTTTTTCCAAAACTTGTTTAGTTTACAAGTTTTCCAAACAAATCTCTCTCTCATACACATCAAATCAATCACTTTTTCCAAAACTCTCTCTCAAAATAATTTTTCAAAACATCTTTTGACAAAAAACCAAACCAAACCAAACAAATTTTCGTACTTTTTATCTCAAAACATGTTTCTCAAATACAAACCAAACAAACCCAAAATTTCTAATTATCTTGTACAATAATAAAATGGGGGACTTACGGGCTGGTCCTATTGACCTAATTTATTTACCTGTAAGTCCTACTCATTTTTTTACCTCTCAATATTTCCAAAATACCGTTCTTACGCCTCCTTCAACAGCTCAATTATCAAATCACTGCCATGACCCACCACCTCTCACTTCTAGCCATTGACGAGTACTTCCAACCGCCGGTGATAACCTCCGCAACCTTCGGACTATCTCCAAATATTTGATGGTGACAGGAGAAGAAGAATAAGAAGAAGAAGAAGAATAAGGAGAGAGAGAGAGAGAGGATGAAGAGGAAAAGAAAAAAAGAAAGGCCTTAGTAGAAAATTGTTAGCCTTTGTGTTGTAGATCAATATAACCATGCCTTTACCATCTGCTCTTTGTCCTCTTTCCAGTGATAAATTTATTACTGATAGATTGACCCATCCAACATATTCACATCTACAATGACAAATTAGTGATAAATTCATCATTGTATAAATATAAAAAATTAGCAATAATAGACAACATATTCAACAATCAATGATAAATTTATCACTGATAGATTAATCATACTGCATATTCATCTCTCTCTAGTGACAAAAATGATAAATTTACCACCGACTATTCTTTAAAAAATTACAAAAAGAAAATCTCATCATCATCGTCACAAATTAACAAAAGATTCAAAGACATATTCAGTAATAAATTTAGTAGTGATAAACACATTCATTGATAAATTTCTCACTAGTTTGTTAAAAGATTACCAAAAAAAAAAAAAAAATCTCGTTATCATTGTCACAAATTAACACAAGATTCAAAGAAATATATTAGTGATACATTTATCACTGATACAACAGATTTGGTTTAAGAGAAATAAAAAGAGAGAGGGAGTGAGGAAAAGAGAGGTGATAAATATAATATGAACAAAAATTAGTGATAAATTTATCATTATATTAATATCAAAATTCCAGCAGCAGCAGTCCACAACATATTAAACAGATTAGTAAGAAATTTTATCACTGAATTAAGTGATAAATTCATCAGATTAGTTCAACATATTTTACAAATGTAGATCTTTACCAACACACTGTAGAAAGAGTCTCGATCTCATAGGCAACCATGTAAAGTACCAGATTGGCGCCGAAGATGGTATGTCGGCATTGAAAACAACTAGATTTGAAGCCATTGGCGAAGTTTGATGTTGAAGATGGTGGATTGATGATTGAAGAAGAACGGTGATGGAAGATAAAGGATGGAGGATAGAGGAAGAGTGACGGTAATGGCAAAGAGGAAGGAAGACAACAATGTTAGGCGAGCGAGTTAAACGGTTGAGAGATGGTGAAGTATTGATCGGCGATGGTGGAGATGGTTGGTGGTTAGTGACGGACGACGATGGTGGTGATTGTGGGTGGGATGGCCATGGACATGGCCATTCCTACAATGGTGGTATTTTCTGAAGAGAGAGAGAAAGAGATGAGAAAAAAGAAGAGTTTTGAAAAAATGATTAAGACAGAAGTTAATGCAAATTGAAAAATTAATGACTAATAAATATTATAAACAATCAAAGATTTAGAAAGTGTTTGGGATGATTTAAATAGGGATTTTTACTAGCTGGTAGCAAGGGTAAAATCGAAATAAAAAAATATAACAGGGTTTCTTGGTACTTGAGATAGAAACTTAAGACCTAATAGATAATAGAGTCAATTATTGGGACTGACTGGTAAAAATTCCTAATAAAATTATAGAAATTATTAATTAATATATATTTCTGATGTTATTAAAAACTTCAATGAGTAAGATATAATTTTCAAACTATAATAGGTAATTTATATTTTAAGTAAATGTCATGTATTTGTAATTTAGCCATTTATGTTTGGACCTTTGATAATTTACTCCTTGAACAAAGCGAACGCAGTAGAGGAGAAGACGAAGAGAGAGGGAGAGATGCAGCAGAGGAAACCTACAATTGGAAATGGGAGGCCATCCGGAACGGACGGTTCTGATTTCTCCTATCGTATGGTCGTCGACTCAAGTATGCTTTTCCTTTGATTCTCTCGTTTTATTTATTTATTAGGGTTTTATTTTATGATTTTGTTCTGATTTTACTATCTTTGACTTTGATTGATAGGGTATACAAAGGTAGCAAAAGGGAAGTCTCGTCTCTCCTCACTCATCTTCATTCAGGTACTCTTCTCTCTCACACCCACAGTCACACATACACTTATTTACATGTGAATTGAAGTGACCTTGGTGCTTTTGTTTGAATTAACGGGTACGATTATATGTGCCAAAATCGTTCTCCAAATTTATTTTCCCTCTGAATCATTTTTTCCCCTAATGTGGCGTGCTCTGTTCATGTTTTTTGATTTTTGTTGTTTTGTTCAAAAACATTTCAATGTAATTTTTGGAGGAATTTAAGAATAACTCTTTGTGCTGGACTAGATATGGACTTACACTTCATTTGGTATATGAAGTGAGAAAATAAAATAAATAATTGTGGTCTCTCGTTGGTGTGAGAAAAAAAAAGAGATGATTGCGTTTTCTCTATCATGTTTTGATGGGTTAGAAAGCAAATCGTGCGAAATAGGGATATGGATGTGATTTCTTTTTCTTTCTTTGTAAAAGAGTTCTCATCATTTCTCATCAAATCACTCAATCCAAACAAGCTATTAAAGTTTTTGCTGATTGCACATGTTGGCTGCCAAAATTAGTTATCAGAAATAGATATACTCTATGAAGCATGGATGTGGATCCAATATGGATATGATGATATGACAATCTAAAAAAAAAGAATTATTCGTATGGCCAAGATACATTAGGAAAAATAATATAATTTTTGGTATTATATTATACATGAGTTCAGCAGTTTTAAGAGCGGGTAGTTATTTATCAAAAAAAAAAAAAAAAAAGAAAAAAAAGAAAAAAAAAAAGAGCGGGTAGTTATTTATCTTTTTATTTGCTTATTTAATTGTTATTATTATTATATATTTTATTTATTTATCCTTACTTTCTACAGATTACGAATATGGATGCATGACACATGCATGACACATTAAGAATTTGTTAATTTGATAAATTTTGAAAAGGTTGGGTACTAGTTTAATCTCATTCTTTTCTTCTTTGGTAAAAATAAGTATAAAAATATTCTTGTGTTTATTCTAACAATTATATTTTAATACTATGCAAAAAATTATTACAATATCAATTTTATAATAGTTCAAATGCATGACTTAAGTGTCTGAAAAGTATCCAATATTTCTCAAAATTAATATCAAGTATTAGATACGTTTAGGAAGTGTTGAAGACTTTCCACAAGTATTCGAGGAGTATCAGTATCTGGTACAGCCTACAAGTATGATACAGATATGACTTATTTTTTGTAGTATCTATGCTTCATAGGATATCCTTTATAGCATTAAGTAAAGAAGTGGGAAGATTAGGCCAAAGTGGTTGATGAAGTCGTAATTTGTTCATTGCTTTTGTTGCAAAGTTTGACTTGACACGGTAAACAACATAGTTTGACTATAGGCTTTCTTTTGCAGCACCAATCTTTGTTGATTCAGGTCCAACCTTGTGTTGGCAAAATATAGCTCTACTTGAGCCTCCCTAGTCCGGTTGAAAGCCTGATTCCCTCCCTTAATGGGTCCAACCTTCTCTATCAGCTTGGCTTGGTAAAGGATCATGCTAGGGTCAGATAACCCTCCCACCCTGGCTTCCGAATTTTGATTTGCTACTCTGTCTTAGGGATGGCAATGGATATCCTACCCAATGGGTACCCATGGAGACCCGATCCAAAATACATGGGCTTCCCCCATTTTTTTACCCGTTGGGTTGGATAGGTGGTATAATTTAAATATCCAATGGGGATGAGTTGGGGACGGGTACCTACTTATTTCTCCATATGAAAGAGCTTCTCTAGTACTCTGTTCTTTTGTTCTATTTTGCTATGTTGACTATGTAAATTTTATAGAAGGAATAGAGATAACATAGAGATACATACAGTTATGATGACAAACATACACAAAGAAAATAAAAAAATAAAATAAAATAAGGGACAATGATCAGACTGTTCATTGAGTCACTGGAAAGAAAATTGGCGGCACTGTTTCTCGTTTAGTTGTGTGCCTTGGTTTCTCTCTCTTCAAACTCTCTCTCTCTCTCTCTCTCTCTCTCTTGCTCTTTTGTATTTCTCTCTCTATATGTCTCTGTGTAGGATTTTTTTTAATTTATTAAATATTTTATCAACATCTTACATTTTATTTCCGAAAAAAAATATTTTAAATTTTATTACCACTTTAAAATAAGTTTCTTAATTAATTAATTAATGTATGTATATTTGATTTTGTTATTGAACCAAAATGAAAAAATATATATATATAATTGAATGTGTATTTGGCTTTACCTTTAAACCTTTAAAAAAAAAAAAAAAAAAAAAAGGGGGGGTCAAGTTGGGTCGGGGAAAACCCAAACCCATTACGGGATGGGGAGGGTAGTCCCCGTGGAGAATGGGAATGGAGAATGAAGAAAAATTATAATAGGGGAATGGGGATGGAGAATTAATATCCACCCCATTGTCGTCCATTGCCATCCCTACTCCGTCTACATTTGTACTTGTACTAGAATCCGCATCGTCATGCTTGGTATCCGAAGCTTTTGTCACTTGACCTGGTGATGATCCCTAATAATTAGAAAATAATTGCATCCCCAATTTGGCTTGAAAATTAATATGCTGTGATCATATAGAACAAATGACTATGATATTAGCAGCTACAACTATATAAATTGGCTGGCCCATTTTTTTTTGAATATCTTTTGGTTGGACAAATCATTTTGTATCAATTGAATGCTATTCTAATTATGTCCTTCTCTTCTCACTAAAATTATGATTTCTAAGGCTTTACTGACAGTGTAGTGATTATGATTATCATACTTGATCATCCGCCCATTGGGTTGCTTTACTTTCAAAAACTTATTTTTCCTTTTTAACCCATAGTTAAGCATTTCAAATAGGATACTTTTTTTATATTCTTTTGATATGGTTTGCATTGTATATTGTAGGTGATTGTTCAATTGGTAGGACTGCTGAACTTCTTGCTATCAATACTGAAGGAGGAGAGTCTTGACACGCTTGCTGTTTCATCCATTGTTATCAGTTTTCTTTCCCTCTTAATAGGAGAATTAGGTTGCCGACAAGTATCTCTTCTCTTCAATTTACTTCACAATTGCAGGTTGTTATAGAACTTATTTGGGTCATTTGTTGTATTGAAGGCCGAAGACGCAGCAGAGTGAACTTTTTGAAGTTTTTCATGTTTGCATCATCTATGGCAGTATTGATCTCAATTGCTGGTGCTGCTAGGAGTAATGTCTTGGTTGAGGTAATAAGATTCATTGTTCTAGGTGTAGATTAAAATTTCTTCTCCTCTTGCTAAATGTTAAATACTATTTTTTAACAATATTGTATTTTTCTACTCTTTTGCTTGTTTGCTTGTTTTGGTGTTGTTGGAGAGATTGGGTTTGGCATCCATTTGAAGGAGTAGGGAAGCCTGTTCAAACATTAATTTTTTTGTTATCTAGTTAGAAATTGGAGATTGGGGTTGATTAATCCATCCCATAAAACAATTCTGGACTTTGTAAACACTATGGGACATTGCACTTCTTTCTCAGGGTTTAGGTACTTCTACACGTCATGTACACCATGGTTGTAGTCCTGTTATTGGTCCACTTAAGTGCTTTTTGTTTTCAATACACATATATAACCACAGACATATTCCTATGTTTGCATTTGTATTGTGATATCTACTTCTAAAATTGGAATTAGAATAGATCAACATAGGTCTTCAAGTTTGTGGAGATTGGGAAGGAGTTTTGATATTGCAATTTTAAGCAAGATGCTCTGCTATTCACACCAAACTCCACATCAAGAAATTGACTGTCGCATACTGTAGGTGCATACGTACTGCCTTGCTATGTGGCATTGCCACATCATCTCCTAGTTAGCTTTCTCCATCAATTTGGCATCATGTGTCAGTCTTGTTAAATGGCATATGGGCCAATTGTACATCTCTTGATTCTCTCCTTTGGGGTTGATGTAGACTAACCAAGGATGGTGCACATGATGCCCTATCCTCGACTCTAGGGATTTAAGGACAAGGCTTCAAGCTATTTGGAGCATTGCCTCGGCTCAAACAAGGATACTTTGCTTGAGCATGTCTCCTCATGTTTGGCACTTGATACTCACATGGCTCATCGAGTTATTCTCCATCAAAGTGCACCCGCTTCTATACTTGTACCCTCCAAGATGCACACACTCTGAGCTAGTGCCCTCCTGGCACCCACTTGGCTTGTCTTGAAGACCCTATCGAGCAATGTCTAGGTCTCTATGGTCTTTGAAAACATCCTACCATTGGCATCATGGCCTAGGTTGGGTGTAAGGCCTAAGAAACCTTCCCTCAGGACTCTAAGGTACATGGCTTGGAGGCTAGAATTGAGGGATCATCACGGTTGTCTAGCCCACCCCCCTAGGGTGATTCCACCTTGACTAGTCTTAAAGGGAGGCATTGTCCAAGATATGACTCCCTAAAGACCATGCCATACCTAATATTGGAGCCCCTTTGGTGCTTCTCCCAAGGTGTATCATACCTACCACTGCAGACCTCATGATACTACGCTTGACATTTGTTGTGGGATGACATGGTAGATGAGATACTTTCTTATTGTCAAACCAAAAGGGTTGAGCCATTTGTCCAGAAGTGTATCTAGCCCCATGGTTCGAACATGCTATATAAGGAGGTTTCCACATGTGTGTTGAGGAATCCTTGTAATCACCCTCAAACAACCTAGCTCCTACAAGAACAAAACCTCTCCACTGTCATCCTCTCTTTCTCTCAAGGCTGCTCAACTTAAGCTCCTCTGGCTCTGGTGGTCCCTTGCTGTCTTGGTGTCTACCATCTTTCTAGAAAGCCTCACTCTGACACTTGAAGGCCAACCTTACATACGTACTTTTCAAGACAAAAAATAAGCTCAAATTTTAAACTATTTGCTTGCATAGATGAGATGAATCATTTTCTATGATTTTTTAATTTTTTATTTTTAAATTTGAATTTCATGTTAACTTTAAAGCTTCAAAATATACTTGAACTTATGTTGTTTTATGTGAAGATGGGACCTATTTCTTAGAAAATTTAAGTGGAAAATCTGGCATTATATTCTTCTGAAAATTCCCTGGCTTTGGTCATTAAAGAATTTTTTGATTGCTTTGACTTTTGTGCAGGATGGATTTGGTTTAATGTTGACTACCTTTGTGTGGTTGAATCACACGTCATGCATAAGTTGTAAATTGAGTTGGAAGTCGTTTAAGCAAGTGAACTAGTTTACATTAGGTTCAATTGCCATTTTTTCTGTACCAATCAGCATCTCAATACAATGGAGATTGGAAAATTTTGAGAATGGTTTTTGCGTAGTATTTCTAAAGTAGCAACCTAGTGTTTTAGTTCTGCACATCTTTTTTACTTCTAGTGACTATATTCTTCCAACATTTGGTGACCAAACTGAGAGAGGACAGATACAGTCATACAGTTTTATTTATTTTTTATTTTTTTATATTTCATTTTATGTTCATATTAGACATTCACAAATTTCAAATTCTCTTTTTTAGATTTTTTCATAATAAGGTATGCGAAAACCTGTGTAATTTTCATTATATGCTTGTATCTCAGCTATTGCTATTCATTTAAGCTTTTGAATCTCCATGAAAAGCTCTTTGAATGAACTTTAATATGATAGAAGATATCGATTACAAGTTATGAAAGCTTGAAAAATGTACTGTTGTCCTAAACCTGGTTTTTAATTGGTGACTGTTTTTGTATCAGATGTTTTGTAGGGTTCTAAACCAAATAAAGCATTTGAGGATGCTTTGGTCATCTGACAACTTGGTTTGGTTTGGTTTCTTTTTTTCCTTTTTTTTATTTTTATTTTATTTTTTTAAATTTTTTTTTATAGGTGGTAAAGAAAGATTCTAAGCATTGATTGCCTAGTGAATTCGGTCACTAATTTGCATGCTATGTTTGTTTTCAGTAGGAGTGAAAATATTTGCACACAATTTTTGTTAGGAGTAATTTTGTGTGTAAAATTTTGTGTGCCCCCAGCATTGTTGTTTTGTTAGTGCAGACAATCCCTGACTCTCTCTCTCTCTCTCTCTCTCTCTCTCTCTCACTCTCACGTTGGGGGAAGGCATTTGTTTTACCTGGTTTAGAAAACATTGGGCATGCCCTTTGGTCCCTGGTCTGTTGAAAGTTTGAAATTTTTTTATTTTTTTATTTTTTTTAGTATCCTAATTCAGTTATAAGTTGTTGGTGAACCAGTCAGAAGGATAAATTTACTGGTCTCAAAAACTTGTACGATTCTCTTAACATTTACAGTACTCATTAGTTCTTTTGTATAAACATTTTCGTATGTTTCCTTGTCCTGTTGCCACTCACTGCTTCTTACACTTTTAATTTGCCCCTCGTCACTCATCTTAAACCATCTCATTTTCTTCCTACCTCCCTTCCCCTTCTAAAATAAAAACAAGAAGAAAGTATAACAAAAAAAAGCAGTCCCAACGAATGAGGCTCCTAGTACTTACAGGCTTTGGGAAGGGTAAGATGGAGGCCATTTTTATGGTTTGAACCCGTCGCTCACGTCACAATGGGGCAATTTTACTGATGCCGCAAGGCTGGCCCTCAGAAGAATAAAGAACAAGTCAAGAAAAAAATCTTGTCCAAATTCTCTTTTTTGCTTCCTATTGTTGATGCTCATTATTGAGCCTTTTTCTCCCTACACACATTTGCTTGTTTTGATTAGGAGATTGGCTGTGGCAATAGATATTTTCTGGTTGTCACCACTTCAAGACAATTCTGCCAGTTAGAGTATGGTTGGCTATTTTGGTATAATCATCAGTCTGCCCTATGAGCGGGACCGTCCCTCTCACACATCGTTGTTTATACTGATGACAATTATATATCATATTTATGGATTAATACTGAAAATAATTTTAAAAAAATGTATCAAGTTACAAAAAGAAGTTTGATAATTGGATGGAATTTATAGGTTATCCAAGATACAAGTCAGTGGGAAGTAAACAAATTTGAACTTGTCAAGATTGCAGGTGCTCCTCTACTTGGTGAGTTCCATACCTTTATGCTGATTTATCATGTAAGATTAAAGTATCTATATGAATGTTCTGTTTTAGATGATCCTTTGAATTTTAATGCACTTCCGATGTTTAACAGGATTACTGGTACAGATATTTGCGATCAGTACAACGATTTCTCTTATTCAGAACATGTCTCCTCCTAAGAGAGCTTCTTGATGGCTTTTTGTAGTTAACATTAGTTCACATGTCTTGGTGGCTATAGAAGCAACTCTCTTTTGCTTCTTCATGTATCCAGTGTTTCTCGTCATTCTGTTCCCCTTTTTTGCAAAGCAAATTTTGGAAAATTGTGATGACTGTTCAATGCTTCCATTATAGTTTCTTGGGTGTTATAGCCTCATGAGACCTTTGTTCATTGGGAATGATGTATTTCAGTAATTTTTGTTCCGACTTGTTAAAACATTTTAGTGAGTGATTTGTAGATACCGTAAACTGGAGATGCTCTGTCTCTTATATTATTTGGCTCATCATAGTACATGTAATTACAGAGAATTGATAACAATCTGAAATCTCAAATGTTGTCATTAAATTTGAGGGGTGATGATTGTTTAAATTAGTTGATTTTCTCGGTATAAATGTTCAGGCTTCCGGTTCATAGAAGACTCCAGTATAGCCTTTAGTGTATTTAGGCCATGTGGAAAAGTTAAATGGTTTATAGATTCTGCTCTTCATGACTATTTTACCATTACACCCTCAATCCGCAACAGCATCATTACAATTTCAGCCCACTACAGATATAAAGAGCATAAGGTAACTTTTTTGACAATTAATAAATCAAAAATTTTAGGCTCCGTTTGCTAGAGTTATGGAACGTTAGTTCCAGAGCTTGATTTGAACATAGTGTTTGCTTACGATTTTTGAAAATTAATTTTACTCACTTTTGAAAACGCGGTTGAAGGCGGGAAAATTTGGATTAACCGGTCGTCCTATCGGACGTCCTACTGGATGTTCCATTGGTCGTCTAATCGGTTAACCGAAACAGTGTAATTTTATTTTATTTTTTATTTTATTTTATTTTATTTTTTTGCAATTGACACATGTTAATTTTTATATATTCAATAAAAAATATTTTTTGAATTTTGAATTTTTTTTGAGTTTTAATAGAATTTTAAGTTGTGTTTAGTTATGAGTTGTAAGTTTTTGTATCAAATATCATACGTCACATCAAAAATTTTTCACTCAATTCAAAACTCTTTTCAAAACTCATTCACCAAACAAATTTTTTACACTCATATCATAATTACAAAACTCACAAACTCAAAATACAACTCTATTCTCAAATCATATTTAGAAAACTCTACTAAACACAACCTTAGTTTTTTACATGTTAAATATCGTGATTAAGTTCAGTATATACATTTGAATAAATATCAAATAATTTTTCAATTAAAAAATTTAATATTTGAATTTAATTTATAAATTCCAAATTGCAGTTTTATAAAATGTATCTTTCTTGTATTCTTGTGAACTTTAACATGAAAAAAAATATTGGGCAAATAACACTATTAGTCCTTATATTTTGTCCTTTATGTCATTTGGTTTTTGTAATTTCAATTAATTTGATTTTGATTATGAATTTACGATTTTGTTTCAATTTGGTTCGATTGATTGCCATTTTTAGTGTTTTGTAATGAAAAATAAGCATATAAGGAACATGTGTTATATTTTTATAGGCAAAATTGAATTAACATTCACCAACTTCCTTATAGTCTTTGATTGAAATTTGGGATTGAGGAGTGAATTCCTCAACATCCTCTCAGGTTGGCTTTAGGGTTGGGTTATAAATGAGTCCGGCCTTGGGGGGTTCCCTAGTCGTCAAAAAAGCGAAACCTTCATCAACTTAGTAATAATTTTCATTTAAAAATCTTAATTGACTTTATCAATTCAGCGTATCTTAAGAAAATGGTATCAATAGTTTTAGGTTATATTTTCTTAAGTTTAGGTTCTAGAATTTATACATGTTTTTATAAAAAATAAGATAAAAAAATATTATGTTTAAAAAACAAAATAAATAAATATTATATATTTGAAGGTCAATTTCGTCATTTAAATACATATTCCAGAAGATGGCTCAATTTGTTCATTTCTATCCCACAACCCCCCATGAGATACAGTTATCCCACACACTAGGGACCATTAGACCGACCTTCACTTTTCTAACAAAATATTAGATTATTCACTTTGTTAGATATAGACTCCAATCTCATAACACAATCCCCCAAACAAACACCTCATTATTGAAATGATTTTTTATACCCGTTAGATGATGTAATGGAAATCCCCCATTCCAACCATGTAATATTAAAACATTTGTGTATTAACCCATGTAGAGTTAGGCTTCTCACCAATTCACATATCAATTTGAGAGAACTTAAGTGACCTGTGAGGCTGCCATAAATCCCAATTTAATAATATTTTGTTACATTTAATGAGCTTTAGAATTTTTTAAATTTTAAATAATAATATATTTTAGGAGAAATTACAAACAAACAAACAAAAAAAGAAAAAAAAAAAATGAAAAACAAAAACAAAGTTTGACCCTAATAATAAAATAAATTCTAAACTTTTTATTTTATTAATTTAATTCAAAACTTTTGATTTATTTTCAATCTGAAACATTTATCTATTTCTGTTAAGTGAAATTGATGGAAAATTATTTTCGTCATTAAACTCAATAAAACTGAGTACTTTAGACATTTTATCTATTGAGTTTAATAATTAAAAAACTATTTTTTCAACAATTTAGTTAACGAAAATAAGCAAATGTGGTTTAAATTAAAAATAAATCAAACGATTAAAATTTAAATTGATAAAATTAAAAATTCAACGTTTATTTTGTTATAGGGATCAAACACTGATTTTTATTTATTTATTTATTTGGGTAAATATCTCTATTTTTTTTATGCATGTAAATGTGAAGTTTTAACTATAAGGGAATGGTTCTCTCCGGTCCTAATTTGAATTGTAGGGGGCTGATTGGGCACCGTTTTATGATATTTCATTTTATTAGACCATGTATGTACATCATCCATAAAAAAATCAGATGGATTTGATATTTGTGACCCATTCATTTTATAAAATTTGCCTCTAAAACAATTAATAGTCAATGTTTTTAAAAACATATCATCTATTTTTTAAGGTACAAATTTGATAAAATGAAGGAGTTACGAATATTGGATCGACCTAAATTTTTTTACAAATGGCATACACATAAGACCCGATAAAATGAATGCTTCAGATTATTAAAAGGGGCCCATAGTGGGGCCCACAAGCCCAAAGAGTTCTCTCCCATCTGAATGAGGATTCAAGGGAAGTCTCTCCCTATTATAAAATAGTTGTATACAAATTGACAAGTCATTAAACATTCAATAATAAATGCCTTCAATTTAATGAGTAATTAAAATTAGAAACTTATCAATTTAATGAGTAATTAAAATGAAAATTTTACTTATTTGAAAAATTAATATGTTATTAAATACAAGGCACTTGTTACCATTGGCGAATATGTAAATAGGACAATTTTCTCTCCAATTCACACAGTACTACTGAGGTTTGTGGAGGCCTATTCCAGATTCTATTTTGTTAATTTGAATCGTTCATTTTTTATATCAAAGTGTTTAAATCATTCATGGAAAAGAAAAAAAAAAAAAAGATCTGTCCAATAATTGTAGCCGTGCTAGTTTATGGCATTTATTTGGAAAAAAAAAATGAATGACAACTATAATTTAAAAAACTAAATCATCTATTTTTCAGGAGACAAGTGCAGCAAACAACCATAATTACGATTATCGGATCGATATAATTTTTTACATAGATAATATACATTGCGATTTAAAAACTAAACGATTTGAATTATCAATTTGTGAGCCATAAAAGGTCCCACTAATCCAAACAAGTTCGTCCAATCCACAACCGAAGGGAATCTGCTCCCTACGTAAATATATATGCTTTTGGTTATTTTGTAAGATGTAATGAATATAGTTGTATTCATTGACATATGTGGAAAGAACCTACAGTCTAATATCAGAGACTTTAATGGTAATCATAAATATTTAGTATACATATTCTTATGACTATTTTAAACTTTCATGTATATGGATCCAATCATTCCTTGACTTCGTGAAACTTTGAATACACATGGAACTTATATAAGCCTCATGTCATGCCATTTCCATGCATGACCCGAATATATATATATATATATATTAAGAAAATTATATGAAACCCTTGACCTTTTTAATTAAAAAAAACACCAATTCTTTAACATTTGGAAAAAAAAAATTAAATAAATAAAATTAAATAAACCTATACACCCCTTTTAAGAAAAAATGAAAATAAAAAAGGAACTCCAAAATATTAATTTTTAATTTTTAAAAATTAAACAGTACATGTAAATTTTGAATATCATTATTATTTTTTTGTCATTTTGTTAGGTTTGATGAAAAGTAAACGTTAGGTTATTATTGTCATTTGCAATTGGCTTGTTTTAATGTCATCTTATTTACCATGTTATTGTTTAAAATTATGTTATTCGAGCTGATTAAATAATTGCATTTAACATCATTTAATAAATCTTAAGAGCATCAGTATCAAACTCGTTATTTATTTATGTTAGTTATTTTAAACCCAAAAATTAGAAACGGCATCAAATCGTTGCTCCATCAAACTCGGCAAGGCAATCGGCAATTTTTATCAAACCCAAATCCCTCGCTACAAATAACCAGCGACAAAGGCTCGGCTATTGGACTGAAATTGGAAACTTTTGAGCAACGGTACAATCTCTCTCGTCCTCCTAAATTTGAAATAATCAAGACTTTGGGTAGATTGTACACAGAACTGTTGTCAATCTTCTCTCTATAAAAGGTTGCTTTGCTTCTTCGTTTATGTGTCTCTTGAATCTCCCAAAGCTCACTAATCACTGAAACTCCCTGTTTCAACCTCTCAACAGGCTTTCCAATTCTAGGTAATTCTCATACAAAAATCTCAATTAATTTTTGCATGCATTGATATATATATATATGTATATGTATATGTGTATGCATATGCATATGTAAATGTGATAATTGATTAGTTTCTGTTTTAACTATTTGCTTCAAAATACGATGGTTTGAATTTGATTGGGTAATGTTTCAATTCTGCAAATTGGATTGTTGATATTTGAAAGTTCTGATCTTTGTGGTTTAAGAAGGTAAAAGAATAGGGTTTTGAAATAGCTATATTATTTTGTAATTATAATGGAATCAGAAATCTAATATTATCAAGGGTTATTCTTGGAATCCACAGCTTGTATTTAAATTGTTGGGTAAAACCAGAGGTTACTGTCCCTTGATGCTCAGGTATTGTCCTTGTGAAATATGTTTCAAAGGGGCTCAGTTGATGCTTACTGCTAGAATAATTATGTTGAACCAAGTAAGGTTCTGCACAGCTACACAAATTTTATTTTCTGGATGCATTTAGTTCATGTATTAAATTTATCTGTTCAGGATAGCCTGTTAGGGTTTAAGTGTAATTTTTGCATTTGGGCACCTTATGGTCTTGAATTGTAATCTGAATTTC